CCCCAAAACCCCAAAACCCCAAAACCCCAAAACCCCTTTAATTGGCTTAGACTATCTAATTTCTGGTATATTTCATTAGCTTTTAAGCAAAATTCCTCTTTTGAATTAATACCACTTTCAAGTATTGAGTTTATCCAATGAGCTGGTCAAAGCTCTCAGCTATCTTTACTCTTCTAGAAGTAGCGAATCTATCTGGCTTCCAAAGTTTTCTTCTACCTTGCTTCTTCAAGAACAGAGAAATGACCCTATTTTCTCCCTTGAAGTGGTTAATTTCTTGAGAGGTTAGCTTTGTCTCTTGGTGTTCATTGATCATATCTTGCAGGGTGATATCATCTCTTTCTCCGATCTCCATGAGGTCTAAGGTGTGAATACTGGTTAAAGCTTACCTATGTAGGCATCTATAGCCTCCCTCATCCTCTTGTTATCTTTCTGTATTTGCTCGACTCTGCAGAATTAGTGAGGTAGGTTACTTTTGGTCGCTCTTTTTATTTAATATTGCTGCTCCATCTAGTTTGTAATTAAGAAGTTCCTTCTCGAGTTTGTCCTTCATGGAAAGGATAGTTCTGGTAGATTGCTTCACTAAGAGTCAGGCGAGAGCTTACTCTTTCTGTCTTCTTTCTCTTTTAATTCTTTTAAGAATTTGTCCTTATCGAATGGAGGAATCCTGTAAGAACAGTTGGAGTTAATATCTCTGTTTAGCATGCTTTTTCGTTTAGTGTTCAGGGATGTAGCAGCCCTATTTCCGGGATTTAGGTCATTCACTTCTGAGAAGTTCAAGCCAGGGGTGTAAACGCCTATTTTTAGACATATAGATACCTGATCTTTTGTATAATGGTTCATTATTGATCTTCTTTAATCTAAATTTGGTACTGTTGCTAAAGCATGATTCTTTTCTAGTCTTAGAAGTTGCTGAAGTCTCCTTTCGATGAGAGGTAGAAGGATGAAATCTAGCCTTAGCAGTTCTCTGTGTCTTAGTAGTATCAAACTCGTCTTGATAAAATGTGACTTCCTTAGGCGATCTTGAAGTTAATTTAACCTCTTCTACTTCTATATTGCTTGATTTGCGACTATTGAGAAAGACTTCTTTTGCTTCATTTTGCTTTTTCTGATGCTCTAACTCCTCAAGCTCCGTTGTCCTAAGATGCTGAAGCTCAGCTTGAATTTTCTCTTTACGCTTCTGTCTGGCTTCTTCTCGAAGCTCATGTCTGTAGCTCCTGCCCTTAGGTGGGTCTAGCTTCTCAAGAATAGTTTTGAATGTTTCCTTTGAATCCATTAATTTTTCAACCATTTGTATAAGCATTGAGAAGTTTTTGACTTTCTTCTTAGGAAGGTACTTACTTAGGCCATCGTCAAACGCCTCAAATACTCTTCTCTTCTTATCTACTGTGAGGTACAAGCTGGAGGTATTCTCTTCCCAGCTCTTTATCATCCTGTTTATATTCTTCTTTGAAAGAGGGTTTTCATCCTCGAAGGGAACCCGCTTAGAGGATGGAGGTTTATGAGCATCTTTCATTGCAGCTATAAAGCCTTTTCTACCTATTCGATTAGGGAGTTTCACTTTGTCGTAGCCTAAGAGTTGGTCTATCGTTTTATTTTTCATTGCCATCTATGATTATAACTACACTTTACTCTTTTGCTTCATTGTGACGACTTTTCTATTTCTATGCCCTTTGAAGATTCTGAAGGAAGCAGGAACATTAGAGATCTGGGATCGTCTTGCTTTAGGGTCGAGAGACCCAGCAAATCTCAGTGGATCTCTGATAGACACTGATGTCTGATTACCTAAATGGTTGCCCTTATCTAAAGAAATTAACAAATTATATCAAAGAGAATGTTGAAGATGAAAAGTTGATTATTTACCTTTGTTCATAAGCCCAAATCCAGGTTTTCTTAAATTCATACTAGTGGAGATCATTCTAATTTTCTTCTGTTTCTTTCTGTCTAGGACTTGGTCAGGGTTAATCTTGCTGAGTGAGAAGTTCTTATTCTTAGTAAATCCACCTTTGAATTCACTCTTAAGCTTTGGCCTAAAACTATCACAATAGACATACTCTAGCTTGTCGATGCCAAACGAAATATTAGGTCTAATAACACTTTTCGAAGTAGGTTCTTCCATTTTATTTAAAAATAACCTTTTAGCAAGGGGTTTTGGGGTTTTGGGGTTTTGGGGTTTTGGGG